AAAATCGAAACAAATGCTGACAGATATATCTAAAGTTAGAGGGTCTGATTATAATGAAATATAAAGCCGAGGTGGTCCTTATACTTGGCAACTGACATTTTGGTGGGAGAATAGACCAAAGCCCAGTAAATATAAAAATAGTTGTGAATCACATGCTTCACAGCAAAGAAAGCAAAGCAAAGAGCAGAGGCGAGGTAATGGAATATGGAGATGCAGCTGGGCTGGTCTCAGAGGCGAAATAAGTGGATCACTATGAGGAACTAATATCTGAGCAACACCTGGAACATGAGACTAAGCCATCAAAGGTCTGAGGTACAAGTGCTCGGGAAGGAAGTTCGTGGGGCAAAGGCCTTACTTAACACAAACAGAAGTGTTCGACATGTTACAAAAAAAACAGGGAGAGGATGGCAAAGGGATCCATGGCCAAGGCAAGAGTTTGGGATATATTTTAAAAGCAGAAGTGAGAGAAGGATTTTAGTCACTAGAGTGAGTAAGTTCCCCAAAACCACTGAGAGTTGTGTGAAGTATATGGTGTCATGAAGGCTGAGGCACTGGTCAACAGACCACTTCCAAGTCAAGGCCACTGATAGATGGACAACTATATAAAGGGTGAAGATAATTTGTTCTTAAAAATGATTCGTATAGAGGTCGGAGCAATAGTACAGTGGGTAGGGTATTTGCCTTGCATGTGGCCAACCAACCTGGGTTCAATTCCCGGCATCTCATATGGTTGCCCAAGCACTGCCAGGAGTGATTTCTGAGTGCAGAGCCAGGAGTAAAATCGCTGGGTGTGACCCAAAAAGAAAAAATATATATATTTAAAATTCATGAACTATTTATTGAAGAAAAGAGCTCATGAGCTGAAGAATTTTTTTATAAAGAATTCTTACATAATACAGCAAAAAAAAAAATATATATATATACTATATAATATATATATAATTTTTTTAAAGGAGATGTTTTAAGAAAATAAATTTAGGGCGCCGCTTGCGTTGCACGCAGCCAACCTGGATTTGATGCCGGGCACCCTCTATTGTCCTGTGAGCGCCATCCAGAGCCAGCCCTCAGCTCAGAACTAGGAGTGAGTCCTGAGCGCCATCGCGTGTGCTCATGTGTCAGACTAAAGTGACCAAACGATTGCCTTTTTGTGGTGTACTAGCACCATCTAGTGGACAAAGTATGCATTTTCTTCAATTATAAAAAAATCAACGTGAGAGCTGAAGGGCCGCTTGCTTTACTAGCCTATCGGACTTGGGATCGATCACTCTCCTGGCGTCAATTTTGGTTCCCTGAGCTCCTTCTGGGGTAATCTCCGAGTGCAGTGCCAATGAACCAATCAATCGATAAAATGTAAAAGGATATGACCACATGCAAGGTGAGTGCCTAACCTTCAGTACCTCCTAACCTCCTGTCTCAGGCCCCTATGTTTTTTCTTTGTAGTTTGGGGGCCACACACACTCAGAAAAGTTCAGATCTTACTCCTGCCTCTGCCCCCTAAACTTTTTTTTTTAAACTGTGGTGCCAGGAGTTGAACCAAAGGCCTTTCATTGTAAGCATGTGCTCTGCCACTGAACTATATTCTCCACCCTTCTGCTTTTCACAAAGAAGCTCTAGAGTAAAAATGTTAAATCATGGCCACAAAACCAAGTGAGAAAAGATTAATACCACCATGGCTGGGAAACGTAGGGGGAAAAGAAACCCCTGATATGAGGTGGAGAGAAATCTACTGGTGGGGAGGTGGAGCCCCGACGTTGTGTTTATGAGATCCTGTCACTAACAGTACTGTAAAATTGTAAATCACAGTGTCTAAAATTAAAAGGAAAAGCTTAACAGTAAAGACAATAAGAATACATATGCATACTGATAACTATCTTTGTATTTTCTATTTAATCTTATTTAATTTACATTTCCATGTAATTTGTTGGAGTACACTAGTGTATTCATTCTAATATACTACTGTATTCATTCTAATATCAAGGGTAGTTATATCTAAATTAATCAGCACACTGTTAGAAATATTAGCAATTACAATAAGTAGGCATGAGTTTGCTTATTAATTTCTGGTGCTCTCTTTATGTCATTTAATTAGGTTTTTACAAATTAAGACTTACACTTCTCAAATAGGCTCTATTCCTTGACTGCATTGTGAACTATAACTGAATAAAACATGAATGTATTGTATTAAAAGAAATTAAAAGAGAAGAAGAATGTAAAAAGAATTTTAATCATCCATGCTAAGTAGTAGAACAGTTCAACATCCAAGAAAATTCCTTTGTGTTTCATCTAGATCAGTGTGTCTCGTTTTCCTGGTCCTGGTCCCCTTACAATCTGTTTCCTTCCTTTGGATCTTCCTCCTCATCCCACGCTTTGGCCCCCTAGTCACACTCTGTGGTATCCCATTCTGCATTTTCACCTGTGCCATCTTGGAATATTCCAGGACTCCACAGAGTGGCCATATGGCACCTAATGGAGAAACACTGGTCTAGATTAATACCCCTGTGTTATTTTAGAAGAAAACATTGCCTTAACGTTTTTTAATAGTGATGACTTTGCAGCCTACACATGTGTTTTTGAATTTTAATAAAATTACACTGTAGGATTTCATGTACTTTTCTTTTTTTTTGTTTCTAGCGATAGTTACTCCTAGCAGGATCACTCATAGAAGTGTGTGGGTGACCATATAGGGTGCTGAGGATTAAACCTGGGTTGGCTGCGAGCAAGGCCAGGGCCTTCCTCACTAACCCTGATGTACTTTTTAAACTAAAAACTTGTTGCTGTTGGTATTTACCTCTAGTGGCTCACTCATGGGTGTGGCTTCATTAGCACACATTGCAGTAGCGGCATCAACATGTTTGTGAATATTAATCATTTTTCTTTTCATGTCTTGTGGCTTTGCTGTTTATATTCTGTTGCAGAGATATGCCATATATTTTTATACATCGAATTACTGATTGACATTGGAACTATTTGCATTTTTCACAATTAAGAAATTAAGTGAACATCATCATACATGACATCTGAGTCTGAGTCTGTATGTGCTTGCGTTTGTCCAGAATCTATTTCTAGCAATAAAACTGCATACCTTCCGTTTCCTATGCATTGCTAAAAATCTTTCCTGGTGTAGTTGTCGTTTTGCTTCTCAGCAGGCTTTTTTTGTGTATGGCACTTATTCCAAATGGTGACTTTTTTTAGATTTACAGTTCGCTAAGGTGCATAAATTTGTTATGGTTTTTTTTAAGTTTTATCTGAAGCACTGTGCTTTACAGTGTGTTAATTATAGTCTTCATGTACACAATGTTCCAATATCACAAACTCCACCACAGTGTTGTCTACTTCTCTTCTCTGTGGTCTCTGTACACCTTCTTCACCACCACTACTTGTTACCCACTATCTGCAGTAACCTCATTCTCATAGACCAATGATTTGCATTAATTTTTCCATCACTTGGATTTGTTCTTTGGTCAAAATATCTATTCAAGCATTTTATTTTATTTATTTTATTTTTTTGCTTTTTGGGTCACACCCAACGTTGCTCAGGGGTTACTCCTGGCTCAGCACTCAGGAATTACTCCTGGCAGTGCTCAGGGAACCATATGAGATGCTGGGACTCAAACCCGGGTCAGCCACGTGCAAGGCAAACACCCTACCCACTGTGCCATCGCTCCATCTCCTATTTAAGCATTTCATTCTTGTCTTTTATATTATTTCTATATTTACTTTATTTTATTTCGGTAATATTGGTTGACAAGAGTGTAAGTATAAGTTCCAGAAGTACAATACCACACCATGTCCACCACTAAAATAACAGCATCTGTCTCCACAATCCAATGGATCCTTTCAGCCCATCTCTACCTTTCCTTGCTGCGTTTGTAACTTCAACTCATCAAAATGTTTGTTTACGAGGACAGTTTCCCTTGAGCTGTTTTCTTCACATCTCACATGTAGATGAGAATACGATGAATACGGAGGATCAAACATAAGAAAACTTAATTTAAATGTAAAGCAAGTAAATCTGAGTTCATTCCAAGAGGTCCCAATGTTATAGTTTATTTTGGAGAGAAGGGTTGAACCCCAAAGTTCAGGGGATCTAGGGTACTTTACTAGCAATGCTAAGTTCTCTGTGTGGGCCTGAAGCTTCTGTGCTCAATCTAGCAGGATTCAAGGCTGCCAGGGATGGAACTCAGGGTTTGGGCACACAAGGCCTGTGCTTCAGCCCTGCAGTTCATCTCCCCCACCCACTGGACTGCACTGTTAGATTGCATCCATCAAACATTTAGTTTCAAAGTCTCAAGGTAGTGTTACTGCGTTTTATCTAGAAAATTATTGGTGCCTGTGTCTCCACCCTGAAAGAAGCTGATAGATTTATCCTGTTTTCCTAAACTTTTGATCACTCCTCTTAAATTTCACTCTCCCTTTTTTTTTTCTTTTTGGGTCGCACCCAGCTATGCACAGGGGTTACTCCTGGTTCTGCTCTCAGGAATTACACCTGGTGTGTAATTACACCTGGTGGTGCTCAGGGGACCATATGGGATTTTAGGAATTGAACCCGGGTTGGCGACAGGCAAGGCAAATGCCCTACCCACTGTACTATTGCTCCAGTCCCCTTAAATTTCACTCTTGAAAGTTTTGATTAATCTTCAAAGATGACCAGTGTCTTGGTTTTCTACCAGATACATATTTGCCGAAACTATTGGTACTTTCCCTTATAAGACTAACAAATTAAAACCAAGTCTAGTTTAAAACAGAGGCCAAGGAGCTAAGGATAGAAGTTAAGGCACTTGCCTTCTGATCACTGGCCTCAACTTGATCCAGGCACGACACAGGGTGCCTCTGTACTGCCAGTAGTGAACACAGAACTATGATCCCTGAACGCAGAACCAGGAGTAAGCTCTGGACACTGCAAAGTGTGGTCCTTATATTCCCCCTCCCCCCCCCCAAAAGACTTAAGCACCCTGTATATTTAAATATTTACTTCAAGTATTTATTTTTTGTTGTCACAGATTGTCGCGAACCTCCTCCAGGAATAAAACCAGAAATTCTGACAGGTTCCTGGTCTGACCAAACATATGCAGAAGGCACTAAGGCAACATACAAATGTCTCCCAGGATATAGAACCCTCGGATCTATTGTACGAGTGTGCAAGGAAGGAAATTGGAAGTCTCTTAACCCCAGCAGGGTATGTCAGAGTAAGTATGCAAATATTGATGACATATATTAATCTTTTCTTGAATAAAATAACTGAATGTTTGATATTGTAACAAGAATTCTAGCATTTTGCTATTTAAACACAAAATAGCAGACAACCATGTTCTTTAAAAAGGGTGCCAGTCTCCCAGCATTAAAAAAATAATAAGCATACAGGTAAGTTCAAGTACAAAAATAACTGTCATTTTCACTTTTTCATATATTTTATTATACCCACAAACATCAAATGTTTTGGTCCTAGAACTCCCACACTGGAAGTGTTTAGCTGTATTATATAGTGACTTTATAGCTTTCTTTTCTTTTTAGAAAGACCCTGTGGACATCCTGGAGACACTCCCTTTGGCTCTTTCCATCTTGAAAATGGAGAGGCCTTTCACTACGGTGCAAAAGCTGTTTATACATGTGATGATGGGTATGTATTCGGTCTAGAAAGAGAAATTTCATCGAGATAATTTGGAATTTGAGATGAGCTCTACTCACTGATAATTTTTAAAGTTACTATATTTTTCTGTCAGTATTTACAGCGGGTAGGGTGTTTGTCTTGTATGCAGCCTACCCAGGCCAACCTGGAATCGATTTCTCTGCCCCTCTTGAAAAGCCCGGCAAGCTACTGAGATTATACATATTTGCCGAAACTATTGGTACTTTCCCTTATAAGACTAACAAATTAAAACCAAGTCTAGTTTAAAACAGAGGCCAAGGAGCTAAGGATAGAAGTTAAGGCACTTGCTTCTGATCACTGGCCTCAACTTGATCCAGGCACGACACAGGGTGCCTCTGTACTGCCAGTAGTGAACACAGAACTATGATCCCTGAACGCAGAACCAGGAGTAAGCTCTGGGCACTGCAAAGTGTGGTCCTTATATTCCCCCTCCCCCCCAAAAAAGACTTAAGCACCCTGTATATTTAAATATTTTCTTCAAGTATTTATTTTTTGTTGTCACATTTTAGCGGGATTTTTTTCTAAGACTTTATTTTGACTCATCCTTCAGTTATTATTGCTGAATTTATTACACATGATCAAATAGAGCGAGATTATTTTCACTTGGACTTTCCAATGTTTGTCTCTCTTCATCTTTGCAACATCCCATTCAATTAAATCTATCTGACTCTTGTAGAGCTCTGTCTTTGGCAAAAAGAATTAAAATCCATAGACTTCCGATAAATTCCAAGATTCAGCAATCAATATGTTAATAATTAGAAAAGTAAATTGGCAAAATATTTGCCTCTCATAATCTTTTCTTAACTCATCTTTTCTGCCTTCATGTTATATATATATATATATATATATATATATATATATATAATAAGTAAACTCTGTCACAGATTTTCTTTAAGAATAGTTGTCCACCACTCAGCATAAGTTATCAACAGAACCAAATATTTGTCAGTGAGATAAAAGTAACTTGAAGAAATCAAAATTAGAAAATACAACAACTTACACTATAAAATTTTACTGAGGTACTGTTCTATGTATTAAAGGAATGTAAATATGGTCCAATTGTGGAATCTAATGGTAGCTTATTACTCCCATGTTTAAAATGTGCATACACACTTTAATCCCTCATGTCCATCCATCATTCCTCTGAATATATATGTGGTTTAATGTTCTTGTTCATTTGTTTTTGTGGAACAGCCTATCTGTGCTCAGGGTTTACTGCAGATTCTGCACTTATGGATCACTCCTGGCAAACTTGGGGGACATATGGGGTACTAGAGCTTGGGCCATGGTTGGGCACTGCAAGACAAGTGCCCTATTCACTGTACTTTCTCTCGTGCCTGGTTTATTTTATTTATTTATTTATTTATTTATTTTTTATTGAGTCACCGTGAGATACAGTTACAAAGCTTTCATGTTCAAGATTCAGCTATACAATGAATGATCATCCATCCCTCCATCAGTGCAAACTTTCTACCACCAATGTCCCCATTATCCACCACTCCCAACCACACACTTCCATCCCAGTCCTTACCCTGCCTCTATGGCAGACAATTGCTCAGATACCCTCTCTCTACTAATTGGGCATTATATTTTGCTCGAATTTTCTCACCACCATTCAAGCCTGCCTTCCAGGGACAGATGCTAGATCATTTATTTTCCATTGCTCACTTTACATATCATGAAAAGACTTATGCGGCCTCACGCTTCTGAGATACTAAATTGTAAACGATTCAGTTCCAGAGACATCTCTGTAGGGAGCTATTCCAATATGGGGCCTGAAGGGGTCTCCGGTGCTGTGGTGTCTGCTGGGACTTGCTGACTTCTAGCATCAGGAGTGGACTGGGAGCCGGAATGAAATGCCCATTTCATTGCTGGCCCCTGGTTTAATCCTTGACTCTTACCTAAATTTCTTACCTAGAATTTTTTTTTGTGAATGTGGTAGTGTTTTTGTGTGTGTGTGTGGGGGGGGTGGTAGAGGAGGGGGTTTCGTCACATGCAGTCATGCAGTGGTGCTCAGGGGCAATTCCTGGTTCTGTGGTTAGGGTTCACTTCTGGTGGTTCTGGGGAACCATATTTGGTGCTGCGGCTCAAACTGGAATCAGCCACATGCAAAGCACACATAGCTAGCACTACTCTTGCTGATGCATAAAAGCACTACTCTTTTTGATATATAAAATGCCCAGAAAAATATCCAGATAGAGTAGGTAGGAGTGTGCAATAGGATCAGAGAAGTATAATTTATGGGCAACTATTGGTTACTCTCATGGTTTTCCCTTTTGATCTTGGTGATAGTTTCTGGAACTATCGCTTATTACCAAGTTAAATGTCTTAATAAAATACTTAATAAAATAATACTTAATAAAATAGTAAATACTTAATACTAAATACTTAAAAGATACTTAATAAAATACTTAATACTTAATAAATATTAATTAATAATAAATAAATAATACTTAATAGTTAATAAAATAAAATACACCGACTTAATAAAAATTTAAAACCATGTCTCAAAAGAAACAGTGAGTTTGTGCTATGGACCTAAATCAAATATTTTATTCCCCTTGGGCCCGAGCATTACTACAGTGAGTAGCACATTTGCCTTGCATGCCCTGAACCTGGATTCGATCCTTAGCACTACATAGTGCTAAGGTCCCCTGAACATGGCCAAGAGTGATCCCTGAGGCCAGAGCCAAAAGTCATTCCTGAGCACAGCTTGGAATGACACCACCACACCACACCCACCAAATTAAAAATAAAGAGTGAATAAAATTGTATTTCACATTCATTTACCCAAGGACTTTTTCTTTTTTTTTTCCAGATATATTCACATTTTCTTTCAATTAGCACAATTGTTGATTTACTACAAGTTAAATGGCTTAATTTTAAATGCATAATAAACTTAATTTTGTCCAAAAAATACATTTTTTTCAAACTGTTTTGAGACCAAATGAAATAGCATTCATATTCTTCACCTATTTCAGCAGAGATTTTGAGCTATTAGGCAGGGGGATCAAGTATAAATAGGTAAAGGTAAAGGCCCTCCCGTTGATCATCGATTTGCTCGAGCGGGCCCAGTAACGTCTCCATTGGAGACTTTGTTGTTACTGTGTCTGGCATATCAAATACTCTCGGTAGCTTGCCGGGCTCTCCAAGAGGGGCGGAGGAATCGAACTCGGGTTGGCCATGTTGGCCGCTTGTAAGGCGAACGCCCTACCGCTGTGCTAGCGATAGCACAAGTATAAATATGCCAATAAATTATCTTCAGGTAGTGGTGTTTCCATACAAAATTAAATAAATGACTAAATTTTTCCTCACTTTTTTTAACTTTTTAAAAAAAATTTTATTAGTAAAACATCATGAGGTACAACCCGAGGACTTTTTCTTTAGTAAAAAAATTAAAGACAGAGGAAGCTTAAGAAAAAAACTGGAGAAAGAAAAAAAGAAAGTTAATGTTTATAACGTCAATTTCCCCGTAAATGGGACTGCTACACTTTTAGTATGATATGTGAAATTCCATGTAAACAAAAACTAGCTCTCTACATTGGTATTTTTTTATTTTTAGGTATCAGTTACTTGGCATGATTAATTACAGGGAATGTGATGCAGATGGATGGACCAATGATGTTCCGATCTGTGAAGGTAGAGGTTAAATTGGCATACAAGTATATTAAAATGCTTTAATATCAAAGTTTTTAAGATGCTTTTACTTTAAATGTTATAATTTAATATTTCTTACTCAAATTACTTTAGTGGTTTCTAATGTAATAGAGTGGATATCTAATTTTTTAAATTACCTTATTTTTTCTTTCAATAAACAATTATGATAGTGCAACTAGAAAGTCCAAACTTATTTACTTTCCTTTTGGATTTGAACCACTAGATAAAATACAAGTATTACTGTTTAAATGAAGATTGGAATTTTATATTTGATACTGTGAAGTTCACCAAATAGCCATTCATGGGTTGCTAGTAATAGATCAAGTGGCCAATATGCTTTCAACAGTTTTTCCTCTTTCCTGCCTTGAAGAGGCTTTTCTGTGCAGTTAATCTTTGTGAAAACAGAGCATAAGTAATAAAGATATCAACCATATTTACCATCCATAAGTCAAACAAGCAAACAAAAACTGTAGAATATGTTTCCAATTTCAACCTGTTTATCCTAATCTCTTTGGGCAGAAGCGATAGCACAGTGGTAGGTCGTTTGCCTTGCACGCAGCCAACATGGCCGACCCAAGTTCGATTCCTCCGCCCCTTTCGGAGAGCCCGGCAAGCTACTGAGAGTATCTCGCCCGCAGGGCAGAGCCTGGCAAGCTCCCCATGATGTATTCGATATGCCAGACACAGTAACAACAAAGTCTCCAATGGAGACGTTACTGGGCCCACTTGAACAAATCGACGAACAACGGGAGGGCCTTTACCTTTTTTTACCTTTTATCCTAATCTGTAGTCAACATGGAAATGAAGAGATCAGTGACAAGAGTATTTGCTAGTGTCATGGTGAGGAGTAGGTAGAAAGGGAAATGGAGGGAGACAATAACAGAAAAATATGAGGATGAGAGAAGGTAGTAGAACAAGAAGAAAGAAGAGAAGGAGAGTAAGTGGAAGAAGAGGAGAATGGAAAAGGAGGAAGAAAAGAGGAATAGACGTTATGACCCAAAAATCCTATTTCCAGAAGAGGAGTATGAGGAGCTCTCATTGGTAGGAATCAGAGAAAGGAGTGTAAATGCTCTGGGGAACATTTCAACACCTCAGTTGGACACTACGTGAAAAGATTTCAATTGCAACCACCAAACGTTTATGCTGAACCTTGAAAGTGTTGGTTACTTAAGACTCAACATTGCTGAAGCAGTAGTGGAGAAGGTATTCTCCAATACCATTAATGAGCATTTGGGTCATTGTGTCCAACAATAAAGTTTGAATTCTACAACCTAAAATATATTATATTACAATTTGAAATAGTGTTCAAATTATTTTGTGCACTGATTGTAAGAGGGAGGAAGATTTAGGATTGTTTCACAGTGAAGTTAATATTAACATTATGGGTTTTTATCTTTTCTATATTGCAGTGTTAAATTGTTCTGGAGCATAAATGGAAATTTGTTATTAAATTACCCGAGGATTTACAAGTCATAACTTAGTCATAGTTTATCTCTAGTAAACAGTTCTATCAACTTTTTTTTTATTAGTTGTTCTTGCAGTGCCAAGGAGCAGACATAGTCCCTCACATATGCAAATTCTGTACTCTACCATTTTGTACCACTTTTTCTTTAACAAATTTAAGTACGTTTTGTATCTTTGATTTCTGATGATTTTATATATCTGCATGTATAATATATATATATCATGACAAAGTTCTCAATTCTTATATAAAGATAGTTATTTGGTTTTGTTTTTTTTTCAGTTATTAAGTGTGCACCAGTGACAGAACCAAAGAATGGGAAAGTTCTTGGTGTACTGGATATAGATCGGGAATTTACTTATGGACAAGTGGCACGATTTGAGTGTGATTCAGGCTACAGGCTTGATGGGTCTAAAGAAATACACTGCTCAACAGGTGGTGAATGGAGTGATGCCATCCCAAAATGTGTGGGTAAGGTACACTTTATTGTTATTGTATTGATTGTATGATCTTTTCATGAAAATATTAATTTCCCAGCATTTTGCATCTTAATATAGCATAAATAGCAACTCTAATAACTCACTTTAATTTTGTGGGAATTTTGCCTTCATCTTGAATTCACTATAAATGACTGATTTACTTTTCATCTCGATTTTAATATTGTGTAAACTGTTGTGCAAATGAAAATCACATCTTCATGGCAAAAGTAGTACTTTAAGATTCAACCATTGATTATCTGATTACACCCTCAGTTATGCTCTTAGTCATAACTGAAGTTCAGCTATGGACCAGAGTGATAGCACAACAGTTAAGGTGCTTGCTCTGCATTCAGCTATCCCTGGTTTGATTCCCGTACACATAAGATCCCCTGAGCTCAGGGCCAGGAGGGAGCCCTTAGCTCCACTGGGTATGGGAAAAAAATTAAAAAGAAAATCAACACCCCCACCTCTATGATTGCAGCTGATTCATGGTTAAAATAGAATGCTAAACATTTCTTCTACATTATAGCTTCCAGAATAGGCTTTTACATCAAAACAGTTAATTAATCATCTTTTACTTACACTAAAGCAGCATGGTGAATTTTTTGAATAGCATTATTAAGAAGTGATCTCTTTATATTTGCACATTAAGTTTAGTGTAGATATTGGTGGCTAGTAGTGAAACCACTGAATCTTCGACATTAAAAAAAGTTTTACAGAACACTGTGAATTAAAGTTTCTTCGGTTGTAATATTGCCGACCTATTATAATGACAAATCTGATTACTTGAGATTTTGTAGTAAAACATTATGATCATTTTCCTCCAGAGTCCCTTACTGCATCATGCCATTGTATATCTGTAGAAATTTCTACCATATTACTTTTTCAGTGTTTTGTAAAATTTCCCAATCCTTTACACTTCATAGTCTAGTCTACACTGCAACTAGAGGCAGAGCAAAATTTTTCCATTGAGGACTGTCTAACAATGCAATGATGATAACTATACTTATATTTAGCATAGCAGTTGCTACTTAGTCTAGAGTTTCATGTACAGGCTTTATTTTTTACAATTAAATTTTTTTGAAGGGTCAGAGTGATATACAGTTGGGATGGCATTTTCCTTGCACACAACAGACCCAGGTTTGATTCCTGGCATCCGGTATGGTCTCTCGAGCATTGCTGGGAGAAATTTCTGAGTGCAGAGCCAGAAGTAACCCATGAACATCACTGGGTGTGACCCACAAAGGAAAAAAATAGTTTATTTGAATAGTAAAACCTTTCTGTAACTACTGATGCATTGGATACATTTTAAAGAAAGAATGAAACATTTCAGATGATTTTGAGGAGACAAAAAGTTTTTGGTTGAAGGAAGGCCTCTCTGAGAACGAGATGCCCCATGTCCTCTTGTTCTCAAGGAATGAAGGAATGACGCCTCTGCTCAATGCAGGAAAGAAATGTGTGATCAGTTACAAAAAGACCGGTACAAGATGTAGAACTACCATGTGGAAGATGTTTTAACTCACGTTAATGAGAATCAGGGCATTTTAAAAAAAAATAAAGCCATAAAGTTAACAAGAAAGAAGAAAGTTGATTAAATTACAAACAAGAAAACAGACTAGAGAAGTGGATGAGTAGGATCTCAGAAATTATTGTAGTTTGCTATAATCCAAGAAAAATGTTAGAGTAAGATGGCTTCAGAGATGTTGGCCATTTATGTTTGTTTGTTTTATGACAGAGAACTTGACTGAAGCAAATCTATAAAGGCAGGAGCTGGAGAAATAGCTCTGAGAGCAGAGGCACAGGCATAGTGTGTGCTGGGCCCCAATTTAAATCCCTGATGATTGATATCTTCCCTCTTAGCATACTATGGAACTGTGGGGGCCCCAGAATGTCTGGGCCTGAGCACTGATGACCAAGTTCATTGGTTCAATTACTTTTCAGAGATGTAAGGACAAACGACCATTTTTGACAAAGTGGTGAATTACTGTTAAGTAATTACTATGGATCATATAGTAAAAGGAATATAATAGTCCTAGATCTATATTTATCCCTATCTATAAAATTAATGGATACTTCTGGCCTTAACATATTTTAAGAGGAATCATTTATTTTCAATTCAAATAAAATTAGAAACATAATTTGTACCTGGGGAGTTTTCCAGGAGGTGCTCAGGAAGCTGAGGGCTCCTCCTGGCAGTTCTTAGCCAACAGGCTAGTGGTTCAGTGTGAGGGCCCCAGGATGTATTGCAGATCAGGCTTGAAGTGCCACAGATTACCAGGGCACCTTAGCAGTGCTCAGGCGGCCTCCAAAGCCCTAACTGGTGATCCTTGGCACCTCCAGGGCTGCATCTCTTAGTGCTTGGGTATTTGACGAGGCTTAACCTCATGCGCATGTGCCACAATCCCTATGTTCTTCCTCTAGCCCTGTAGTAAGATAATGTTTCTATCATAATTTTATTTGCCTGAAGAATAACTATTTGGGGCTGGAGAAGTAGTGCAGGATATCATTGCTTTGCACTTGGCTGACCAGGGTTTTATCCCCTGCAATGGCCCCCCCAAGCCTTGCCCCGTATGATCACTAAGCACAAAGTCAGGAGTTGAGTCTTGAGACACTTAAAAGTAAATAAATATTAATAATCTCAAACAGATTTTCTATGTATGATTAAATCGAAACAAAAAATGTTGGTTGTCTGATCTAATGGAAGCAATATATGTATAATTGCAGACCTTTAAATTTTTTTCACAAACCTTTTGAAATGTAATCTTTTGTATTGTATTTAGAAATTTCCTGCGAATTACCAAATGTTCCAAATGCGATTCCCATATCTAATAAGAAAAGTTATAAAGAAAATGAACGATTTCAATATAAATGTAATAGCGGCTATGTTTTTGCTGACAGAGGAGATGCCGTATGCACTAAATTTGGATGGAGTCCAAGTCCCTCTTGTAAAGGTAATATTATATTTCATTTTTATGTCTTTTACTGACAGGGACCTACCCTCTGTGAAAAGGTATGAAGTAGGGACACTCTGAGGATTAAGAAAACAAGACAGACATAAGAGAGAAGAGCCGGGTTAGCGGGTTCACTGCCTAGTGGACTTAGACCCCATTCTCCACCACAAGATTTATTTATTGTTTTAAACCAATAATCAAAAGAACTAGGGCAAACTTTTACATTCATTTGTCTATCTATGCTAATCTAACCAGCACACACTTTTCCTTATCCAAGGAGACTAGTGGTTGTTGGTGGAAATTCTCTAAAGGGGATTTATCTCAAAGGAATCTTCACAGCCTGAGGTAGCAGAGATGAGTGGTTATGAAGGGGCTTTGCCCTGGGTGCTGGATTTCCAGGAGACAAAGTTCCCACAAGCCACTTATTCAGACCCTCTCCTCAGCTGTTCTACCTTTTAAACTAAGTCTAACTATTTCTGGAAGTGTATGCATAACCAACATTTTACTCTGTATTTTATTATTTTTCTGGGAGCATAAGCTCTTTATATTAGGCATGCTCCTCAAGTCTCTGTTACACTTGTCTCTCTCTTTTCTTGCTTTTTCCACTCTGGAGAAGCTCAAATTCTCTCTCAAACATGTACTTCCTCTCTTGCTCTTCCCTTAGACCTTTCTAATTTTCAATAAAATCTATATTGCTGCACATACATACAAAAAATTCTTTCTATTAGTTTATTTTGTTGAGTCTAAACATGCCATAGAGCACAGTGGAGCATTAAAGAAACACAGCATAACTTGAAACTATTTCTGTAAGTTTTAAGAGTAATTGGTATGATTCCCTCATTATAAGGAAAGACAACAGAGGCGGAGGTGGGGTGGGGATGGGGTGAGGGGAGTGGGAGGGATACTAGGAACATCGGTGGTGGAGAATGGGCACTGGTGGAGGGATGAAACGCAGTCAAGAAAGTTTGTAAGTCTGTAACTCTATCTCATGGTTATTCATTAAAAAATATTAAAGAAATGAAAAAAGGAAAGAAATACACAGGATCAAAAATATGGTATCTCATTTAATAGTTTGTGAAAAAAAGAAATAAATCTAACAAGAACCGGTGTAGAACAACCTTCCTAATTTTCATGTAGGTACGTTTCTCAAACAATGAAATTGCTGTTCAAAGGTCATATTTCACTTTTTTACAGTATAAAATATTAATACTAGATCAAGAAAGCCTCAGGACAATGTAGTAATGTGGACATAATGGAGATTTTATTGACCACAGATGTAACATAAGCAGGTAGGGCGTTTGCCTTACACGCGGCCAACATGGCCGACCCGAGTTCGATTCCTCCGCCCCTCTCGGAGAGCCCGGCAAGCTACCGAGAGTATTCGATATGCCAGACACAGTAACAACAGAGTCTCCAATGGAGATGTTACTGGGCCCGCTCGAGCAAATCGACGATCAACGGGAGGGCCTTATATAACATAAACTAGTGATTATGGCATAAATAAGAGCAAGAGCAACAAATCCCCAAATACAGTCACTATTTCTCTTCAGTTTATTTTACTTTGTTTTGTTTGTTTGGGGTCCCTGCCCTGTGGTTCTCAGGACGTGCTCCAGGCTCTGCTCACAGGGATCACATCTACTGCAATCTGGGGACCATAGAGGGCGACGAGTACTGAAACTGAGTTGACTGTGTTCCAGGGGCGAAAGCATCCTTCCTGCTATACTTAATGTACTGTCCGCCAGATTCACTTTTAATTCATTGGGTACTTAATTTGTTCATCTAATCATCTAAAAATCTAAGATATTACATAAGGTCCTTTGTCCTGTACTAAAGATAAAGAAAAATATGAAATTCCTGTTTCCAATAAGCTCATTGTCAGACCTAGGAGTCAACTTTATTTGACAGAGAAAACAGTTCATACAGCAGTTTCAGAGAAATCTAGGTATTTCGTCTTCTTATTTAGTCATATTATTTACATTTTAGAACATATTTCTTTCAAAAGGGGAACTTTTTTGAAATTTGACTTATTTCCATTTGTTCATCCACATCAAAGATTATACTCATCTGAAACATTTTTTTAATTAATTTATTGAATCACTGTTAGAAAAGTTACAAAGTTTTCAAGTTTAAGTCTCGGTCATACAATGATCAAACACCCTTCCCTTCACTAGTACTTATTTTCCACCACCAAGAACCCCAATAAACCCCCCTCCCACCCCTCCCGATGCCTTTGAGGCAGATGATTTCTACATAACTCTCTCTCTACTTTGATTACATTCATTATTTCGACAAAGATGCACCATTATTGTTTGGAATCCCCCCCAAACAATCAGAACTGCTGAAAAGGCATTGTGAGATCATTTGTTTTTTATTGCTGGTTATGAAAACCATATGATGTCATGCGGCCGCAATAGTAGCTGCGCGATTTTGGATTTCTGATCACGAATCATGAATCACAACCAACCTGTTATTTGTCGATTGCCTGGAGCAGGCCCCAGTAACGTCTCCTTCATCCTAGCCCTGAGATTTTTAAGAAAGTGCTATATTCAAGGCTCTTTAGGAGAATGAGACCCATCATTGTTACTGGTATTTGGCATATTGGGTACGCCACGGGGAGTTTGCCAGACTCTGCCGTGTGGGCAGGTTACATTCGGTATCCTGACAGTTTGTCCAAAGTAGGAATAAGATAATAAGATGTCATAATAAGATGTTGCGCAGCCGCGAATGCGGCCACGCGGTTCTGGGAGCTGGGTTTTATAGTCTCTGAGTCTTGGCCGTTGATGGGATTACATGGTGCCAGGGGGCCAGTTGGTGGGTGTGACCCCTGCCTACTGGAATTTGGAGGATCTGGGTGGAGGATGCTCAGCCCCAATCTGAGTAGGCTTGGAGATCTCAGCCTCAGGACCCGCTTGCCTTTGTTCCTCTGCTGGTACCTTCATGTGTGCGGAGAGTGGTCTCAGCATGGTGGTGGCTGGTTCTGGAGGTCTTCGGCTGCTGGAGCCCTGGTCGGGGTGGGGAGGAAAGCTCAACCCGCTCCCCTCCAAGGGGCCCCGGCGAGGATAGCCAGGCGCGGGGGCAGGAGACTGCACTGATTTCTGATATTTTACTAATTAAATCTGGAGGGACTTCTGCCTAGAGCCGGATAATTACAAGATTGGTTTCTGTGAGTCTGGTGCCATGGCCATGCAGGAGAGCTGCTCTTGAGGGGCAACTCATGGCCTCGGTTGGGAGTGAAGGACGAGCCGGTTTCGCTCCCCTTCCCATGAGGCTGCAGTTGCTCCATCACCGCAGGCTCATACCTGGCTTTCCAATAAGCCCTGAGGTGGCGGCCACCATGCTGCTGAGGTGGGGGGAGGCGGAAGAGACAAACACCCTTTCCCTCCCGGGGGGGGACATGATGCTGTAGTTTAATGCATAGTTCATTCACATTTCTGCTGCAAGCTGCTGGGCTCTAAATTAAGTGCTTGTGCCTCCAGAGCCATGGCCATGCCAGAGAGCCAATCGTGGGGGGCATCTCGTGGCCTCAGTTAGGCATGAAGGACAAGGCGATTTCGCCCCCCCATCTGAAACATTTTTATTTCAAAACTTCTTTAGTATTCATGTCACAAATTACTCAAAACTACATATTGTGGGCTTTTTTTTAAAAGAAAAAATACCAGAATGGGAACGTATTGAGCTTAAATATTCTCTTTCACATAATAACTTTTTAACATGAATTAAAATTTATGTGATTTACCCTAAATGAGAAAAGAAGGTAACAGTGTTTTTTTCTTGTTGAAGTGAATTTAAATTTACAGATATCAACAACCTCTTATTAAAAGGAAACTCCTTTTTCACCTCCTCTTATGACCTTCTTCACTCTGAAATCGATGTGGTCTGATATTAGGATGGCTAACCCAGCTTTTTTTCTGGGAGCTGTTTGCCTGTAGGATTGTTTTCCAGCCTTTGACTCTGAGTCTGTGTTTGCTTTGACTATTGAGATGTGTTTCTTGCAGGCAGCAGAATGTTGGGTTCAATTTTCTAATCCATCCTGCCACTCTATGTCTTTTAATTGGTGCGTTTAGCCAATTGACATTGAGAGAGATTATTGTTATGGGATTTTGTCCCATTGTTCTGTTGAAATTTGGTGTATTTGTGGGGCCTGTCTTGCCTTAAGGTAGCCCATTTAGTTGTACTTGGAACCATGGTTTTGAGTCTATGAAGTTCCTGAGCTGTTATTTGTCTCTGAAACTGTGAGTTGCTCCTTCTATTATGAATGAGAGTCTCGCTGGGTAAAGTATTTTTGGAGAGGCATTTATTTCATTGAGTTTTTTCACTATGTCCCACCACTGTTTTCGGGCCCTGAGGGTTTCATCAGAAAAATCAGCTGTGAATTCTAAGGATGCTCCTTTGTAAGAGATTTCTTTCTTCGATCTTGCTGCTTTCAGAATTTTGTCTCTGTCTAAAGTTTTGGTCATTTTGATCAGGATGTGTCTTGGGGTATTTTTATTCGGAAAAATATGGAACGCTTCACGAATTTGCGTGTCATCCTTGTGCAGGGGCCATGCTAATCTTCTCTGTATCGTTCCAGTTTTAGTATAGGTGCTGCCGAAACGAGCACCCAATGTTCCTTTTTTTATCTTTCAGTTGAGTTTTTTTAAAAATTTTTATTAGTGATACACCATGAGGCACAGTTGCAGACTTACAAATTTTTGTGCTTAGATTTCAATTATACAATGATTAAATACCCATCCCTTCACCAGTGCTCATTTTCCACCACCACGGGTCCCAGTATCCCTCCCACCCCTCATTTCCCCCCATCCCACCCTGCCTCTGTGTGCCTTTCGTTCTCTCTCTCCTTTGGGGTGTTGTGTTTTGCAAAAGAGGCATTGAGTGGCTATCATGTTTGGTCTATAGTCTACTTTCAGCATGCTTCTTCCATCCTGGGAGGATCCTCCCAACACCCTTTATTTGGTGCTCCTTTCTCTATCTGAGCTCCCTTTTCCCCTAGCATGTGTGGCTGGCCTCCAAGCCATAGAGCAAACCTCCTGGTACTAATCTCAGCCACTCTTGGGTGTTAGTCTACTATTTCGTTACTTTATGTTCCCCAGATGAATGCAGTTTTTCTATGTCTATCCCTCTCTTTCTTACTCATCTTGCTTAACATGATACTTTCCATGTAGTACCACTTGTATGTAAATTTCATGACTTCATCTTTTCTAACAGCTACATAGTACTTTATTGTGTAGATATACTAAAGTTTCTTTAACCAGTCATCTGTTCTTGGGCACTCACGTTTTTTCCAGATTCTGGCTATTGTAAAGAGTGCTGCAAGGAACAAACAAGTGCAGATGTCACTTCGACTATACTTTTTTTCCTCTCTGGGATATATTCCCAGGAGTGGTATTGCTGGGTCAAATGGGAGCTCAATTTCTAATTTTTTGAGAATCGTCCATACTGTTTTCTAATGTCCTTTTTCCCAGAATTGCTTTAGCTATTCGTGGGCATTTCTTGTTCCGTACGAATTTCAGGAGTGCTTGATCTATTTCTTTGAAGAATGTCATGGGTATTCTTATAGGGACCGTATTGAATCTGTATAATGTTTTGGGGCGTATTGCCATTATGACAATGTAAATTCTTCCTATCCATGAGCAGGGGATATTTTTCCATTTCCTCATGTCCTCTTTTACTTCATGGAATAGCGTTTTGTAGTTTTCATTGTAGAGGTCCTTTACCTCTTTAGTTAGGTTGATTCCGAGGTTTTTGATTCTCTGTGGCACGATTTTTAACGGGATTGTTTTTTCATGTCACTTTCCTCTGTCTCATTTGCATATAGGAAGGCCATGAATTTTTCGGCATTAATTTTATAGCTTGCAACTTTACTGTATAAGTCTATTGTTTCTCGGAGTTTCTTGGTAGAGGACTTAGGATTCTCTAGATATAGTATCAAATCATCTGTAAATAGTGAGAGCTTGATTTCTTCCTTTCCTACCTGGATGCCCTTAATATCTTTTTCTTGCCTAACCACTATTGCAAATACTTCCAGTACTAGATTGAACAGAAGTGGTGAGAGTGGGCATCCTTGTCTTGTCCCTTATCTTAGAGATAAGGCCCTTAGTTTTTCCCCATTGAGGATAATGCTTGCCATAGGTTTGTTTGTTTTAAATGGCTTTGACTATCTTGAGGAAGGTTCCTTCTAAACCTATTTTGGTGAGAGTTTCATCATAAACGGGTGTTGGATATTGTCAGATGCTTTCTCTGCATCTATTTATATGACTATATGGTTTTTATCTTTGCTTTTGTTGCTATGATGGATTATGTTGATTGATTTCTGAATATTAAACCATGCTTGCATCCCTGGCATGAATCCCACTGGGTCGTGGTGTATGATCTTTTTGATGAGTTGTTGGATTCTATTTACTAATATTTTGTAGAGGATTTTCTCATCCCTGTTCATCAGGGATATTGGCCTATAGTTTTCTTTGTTGATTGGTGTCATTGTTTGCTTTTGGTATTAGGGAGATATGTGCCTCATAAAAACTGTTTGGGAGAGTTCCTGTTTTTTTCGATTTCCTGGAAAAGCTTGAGGAGAACTCGTAATAGGTCCTCTTTAAATGTTTGGAAGAACTCTCTAGTGAATCCATCTGGGCCTGGGCATTTTGGGGGGAAGATTTTTAATTACAGTTTCCATTTCCTTGATATGAATGGGTCTATTCAGGTATTCCAAGTCTTCTTGGTTCAATCTTGGGAGATTATAGGAATCCAGGAATTTATCCATTTCTTCTATGTTCTCTTGTTTCATGGCATAGACTCTCAAAGTATTTTCTGAGATCTTTGAAATTTCTCTGATTTCTGTTGTGATGTCCCCTCTTTCATTTATGATTCATTTTATTAGGGTTCTCTGTCTCTCTCTCTTTCTTTGTGAGTCCTGCTAGTGTTTTTCAATCTTCTTTATTTTCTCAAAGGGCCAGCTCTTAGTTTCATTGACCTTTCAGATTGTTTTTTGGGTTTCCATGTTGTTAATTTTTTTAATTAATTAATTTATTTATTGAATTGCTGTGGGAAAAGTTACAAAGCTTTCAGTTTTAGGTCTCGGTCATGCAAATATCAATCGCATTTCCCTTTACCAATACTTATTTTTCACCATGAAGAACCCCAATAAACCCCCACCCCCACCCCCAATGCCTGTGGGGCAGATGAATTCTAGTTAACACTCTATCTACTTTGACTAGCTTCATTACTTCGATAAAAGTTGCACAATTATTATTTGGACTTTACCCCCGCCCAAATCAGCCATGCTGAAAAAGCATTGTGAAATAATTTGCTTTCTACAGCTGGGTTCAAGAAGTAAATGATCACAGCCGCGCGGTTTTGGATTTCTGCTATTTTACTTATTAACCCTGGAAGTATTTCTACTGAGAGTCAGATAATTAAGAGATTGGTTTCTGTGCTTCTGGGGCCATGGCTGTGCCGGAGAGCTGCTCGTTGGGGGCACCTGGTGACCGCAATAGGGCGTGAAGGACGGGCCGGAATGCCCCTCGTCCCATGAGGTATCAGTCGAGCCCCCACACCCGGCTCAGACCTACTCTCCACAAGGCTCCCATGCGGCCGCCATCTTTCTTTCCAGAGAGGAGAGGGCAGAAGGGAGCAACACCCTTTCCCCTCTGGGCAGGCAAGATCGCACGGATTAACGCATGGTCCCTTCACTTTTCTGCTCCAAGCTGCTGGTTTTCTGCATTAAGTCCTTGTGCTTCTGGGGCCATGGTCATGCCGGAGAGCTGCTCGTGGGGGGCGGGGGGCGGGCAACTGGTGACCTCGGTAGGGCATGAAGGATGGGCCAGAACGCCCCCCGTCCCATGAGGTATCAGTCGCGCCCCCACCCCCAGCTCAGACCTGCTCTCCACAAGGCTCCCATGCAGCCGCCATCTTTCCATGTTGTTAATTTTTCCTCTAAGTTTTATTATCTTTTTCCTTTGGCTGGATTTGGGTTCCCTTTTTTGGTCTTTTTATAGCACAGCGGGTAGGGCGTTTGCCTTGCACGCAGCCAACATGGCTGACCCGAGTTCGATTCCTCCGCCCCTCTCGGAGAACCCGGCAAGCTACCGAGAGTATCTCGCCCGCATGGCAGAGCCTGGCAAGCTCCCCGTGACGTATTCGATATGCCAGACACAGTAACAACAAAGTCTCCAATGGAGACGTTACTGGGCCCGCTCGAGCAAATCAATGATCAACGGGAGGGCGTTTACTTTACTTTACTTTTTATTAGATCTTCAGCTGTGACATCAGATTAAAAATGTAGGCCCTTTCTTCATTCCTTAGGTATGCTTGGAAATTTATAAATTTCCTCTTAACACAGCCTCAGCTGCATCCCATAGTTTCTGGAAGCTCGTGTTTTCATTCTCATTTGTTTCCAAATAACTTTTCATTCCATCCTTAATTTCCTTCCTGACCCACTCATTGTTCAACATTGAGTTGTTTAATTTCCAGATGTTTGATTTGGTTTTCTGTGTCTCTGTGTGATTAGCTTCTATCTTCAGTGCATTTATAAAAGGTAAAGGTAAAGGTAAAGGCCCTCCCGTTGTTCATCGATTTGCTCGAGCGGGCCCAGTAACGTCTCCATTGGAGACTTTGTTGTTACTGTGTCTGGCATATCGAATACTCTCGGTAGCTTGCCGGGCTCTCCGAGAGGGGCGGAGGAATCGAACTCGGGTCGGCCATGTTGGCCGCGTGTAAGGCGAATGCCCTACCTGCTGTGCTATCGCTCCAGCCCGCATTTATAAAACAAGGTAATTTACTAGCAAAGGAATATTGCCATGAGATTAATTACTAACAGGGCAAAAATGAGTGGACTAAGTAATTTATAAAGGACAGGTTTTATTAGTTATCGTGATCTAGTCCAAGGGATACAAATCATCACCCACAGATGAAATCAGCACATCTATTTTATAAACAAAGTTTTATTAGAACATTGTCATTTGGTTATGCATTTTGTGGCTATATTTGCACAACATAGAGTAGCACCATTGCTTGAGAATTTTTATCTTACTCTTTACATTAATAGGTTCTCTGAACACTTTTCACTAAATAAGCTCATTGTTGTAAGTACAGCAACTATAAATATATATATATGTGTATATTTCAAATCTAAGAAGTTTAATCAGCAAATTTACTTCTACGTCATGTTCACCTCCAATGTAGTTTGTAAGGGAGACTGCTCATAATATTAACTGCAATAAACAGAGAATAAAGCTATCTTTTTAAGTTCTTTCTATAAGCTAGGATAGACACCTTTCTAAAATGTCTTTTCCCACTGTAAAGGAATGGGAGACAACTTAAAAATTCATGAAAGGACCTCCTCCCTAAGGGGTACATCTGACTTGCACATACATTTCATGATTCTGCACTAGTCATTTGGTCATACCTACTTCATATGGGTAGGAAGATGCAATTTTACAAAGTGTCGGGAAGGAAAAGACTTAAATGATTTTTAACGGCTTTATGAGAACTACAGAAGTCAAGGAAGTAGAAGGGAATGATAGAATAGTTGACACGATATATTACTGAGCTTCTTGCCCAGGAGGAAATTGTGATGGTGAAAGAGAAGAAAAGATTCAAGAGGCCAGGAGGAGTATAATACATCAGATCCAAAAGAATGGAGAAATTCTGAGTGATACAGCAGGAAATATCTGAGGCTGTGTTTATTTTTAGCAGATAAGAACAAAAAATTGCACCGACGACTTTATTTTTATATACTTGATTATTTCAGTGCATACTGATTTCTGTTGTTCTCATATTTTTTTTTCTCTTCAGAAGTCACATGTTCTCCTCCTTATATTCAAAATGGTATCATCAGACCTGAAAAACCCATATATACTGGTGACGAGTTAGTCACATATGAATGCAAAAATAACTTCTATCCTGCAACTCGGGAAAAAACAGTTAAATGCACAATTGCAGGATGGGTACCGACTCCAAGATGTACTTGTAAGTTACACTTATTATTTACCACTTGATTATGAAATTATAAAATTTTGTGCTATTAAGCACAAAAACATATGGATGGGGCCAGAGAGATAGTTCAGCAGGTAAATGTATCTGCCTTGCGCACTGTTGATCCAGGCCTGCTCACTGGCACTTAAGATGGTCTTCTGAGCTCTGACAGGAGAGGTTCTTGAGCAAAGAGTCACCAGTAAGCTTTTAGCACTGAAGGATGTGGCCCAACAATAACAATAAAAAACCAAAATCCTAAGAAATAAATATTAATATGGGCACAATAAATATTTCCCTAACTGCTCTTTATTTGAAAATAGAGGTTTTAGAAGAATTCTTTGATTTTCAAGACAGCCAGTTCTAACGAGGACCAAGACCACTCTTAACAATAAACAAGTTGTAAGCCAAGCCATAGTAGAGTAGTTAGGGCATTTGCTGTGCATGCAGCTGACCAAAGCTGGATTTCTATCATTGTGTATGGTGCCCTGAATATCACCAGGAATAATTCCTCAGTGCAGAGCCAGGAGGAACTCCTAAGCACTGCCAGGTGTAGCCCCAAACCAATTCTGAGTACAAAATTTCCCCGAAACTATTGACTCAAAAGAACAATTATGCTCCCTCAGATTCTCTGTGACTTGAGAATGTGGAAGTGACTAACCAGGCTATTTCTTGGCCACAGTCTCTTGGGTTGCAGACAAGTTGTTGTCTAGGCTGCAATTGGCTAGGCAAGAGCACCAACTTCGAGGATGACATTCTCAAATTTTTTGGGCAAGAAATATCAGCAACTCAACTACATGGCCTTGCCGTAGGTTGCTGGAAGGACAACTGATGTTCTCTAGGGTTAGTGATAGGAGAGGAAGTATCCATGCCAAATCGGGACAAATAAGTCCAGGAAAAATACTGACAAATACTGACACTACAACTGCATAACTGCCTTTTGCTTTTCTGGTTTTGGGTTTCACAGGCAGGACTTGAAGACTACTCCAGGTTTAGCATTTGAGGCTTGCCCTTGATGGTCAAGGGACCATAAAGCACCAGAGAATGAACTCAGGCTCCAGCATGCAGAACATCTGTTTCAGTTTCTTGAACTGCCCCTTGGGCTCCAAGCCATATAAATATTTAAGATGTGAGTCACTAAGACCACCACCAATACAGAGAAGTGCAGTTAGGCTTCACTTTGTCAAGGGCTGAGAGTAGAAGATGGAAAATTCCCTAAAATCATTTCTTGTGATATTCCTAAAATTATAATTGATATAGTTCATTCAATATTTCATTTCAGGTGATAGAAATTCATTTCTACACATGCAATTATATTCCCTTTATATTTCACAGCTTATTGAGAAGTGGTATCATAATTAAATTGGATCTTCCATGAAGAAAATGTACTAATGCAGTTATTAAGTAAAAGACAGAATATTAACTAACTCTCAGCATAAGTTGAAGATTAGTTTACAAAGCATGAATTTGAAAAAAACTACTATCAGTATGAGATAATGAGTGTAACAATTATCAGGGAGTTATTTCATTCATTATGATTTGTTTATGAAATGGTACAGCACCACAACTATATCTCAACATCAACAGGATTCTTTCACAAGAGAGTTGTGAAATTTTGTGGACAGTGTAGGGAGACTGCCAGGGTTGTTAGTTTAGCAGACAGCTCTCAACTCATTAAATATATATATATATTGGATACTTAAAAGATATTTGGTAAGTTGTTATTTGATAAATTTTCAGGCATACTCTATTATTTTTTTCTCCAGTAATTTAATAGAATAGAGGAAATACAATAAAAATTCACAATACAGTATATAAGAATAGCTCAATAAATATAGTAATATTCCTCCTTTGAAAATAAGAAATTAAAAATTCCCTGTTTTCCAATTTCAATAATAAAAAGATGTTTCCCATTATCTTAGATACTTGAAAATTAAAATTTATTATTAAGGGCCAGTGATGGTACAGAAGTTGCATGCATGGAGCCAACTTTGATTATTTCCCAGCACTAAATATGGTCCGCAGGGCACTACCAGGAATGATCTCTGAGCACTGAGCCAGGACTAAGTTCTGAGCATTGATAGGTGAGACCTATAATTCTCTCTGCATTACCCTCTCAAAAATATCTTCCAATGAACAAAACAAGAATAATGTATTTATAGTCTCAATGATTGATTTGAGTTATTAATAAAACTATTCTTTTCTATCTTTTCTCTCCTTTCCTTTGCTTTTCTTTCTTTTTTTTTCTTTTCTTTTTTGAACTACACCTGGTGATACTCTCTGTTTACTTCTAACTGAAGAATCAATCCTGGTGGATTGTGGGAATCATATGGAATGTTGAGATCAAATCTGGGTCTGCCATTTGCAACTCAAGCACCTAACATGACATACTCTCTTCCAGCCCCAGAAATATTACTCAGGGGTATATGTTCAACCAAACATTCTGTTTTCTATATTTTAGGGTGTTTCTGAAAATTAAAAAATTAACTAGATATTAGTATGCACAACAAATAAACCCTGCTATCTGCCTACATTGCTTTGTATTAGAGTAAAAGACAGGCCTATGATTTCTAATGATGACAAAAAACATAAAAAGAAAATTATGAATGATAAAATCAGTACTGTCATCACAAAAACAGAATGGGACTAGGCTTAGAGAGAATTCATTAAAAATATGTGAGCAGTTTTCATCTTGGAGAGGCTAAAAACAAATTTATGTGTTACATGACTCATAAGATACACCCATACACATGTGTTCGAGCAGTATGTGTGTGTGTATAACCTTCAGGATCAAATAGAGACCTTTAACAGGCAAGGCACAAGATTTATCACTGAAGCTCATTTCAATGCCAAAGATATAATAACTTCATTCGCAAGGGCCTCATGTTCCCATACCTCTATCAATTAAATTTTATAACTTTTCTTGTCCTTGAAACTCATGAAATAAGTGTAAACATACAGGATATACTTTATGTTTAATAAGATTTCTAATTAATTCCTTTAAAGCTCTGACTATAGTTACACTTCTTTTTTCATTACAAGTCAAACCTTGTGATTTTCCAAACATACCACATGGAGCCCTACATGAGGAAAGCAGACACAGACCATACTTTCCAGTACCTGTAGGAAAACAGTTCTACTATCACTGTCATGAAAATTTTGCGACGCCTTCCGACAGAACCTGGGAATACATCAGGTGCACAATAACAGGATGGAAGCCAGAAGTGCCTTGCCGCAGTGAGTAAATGTTGTTTTTACCACGTATGTGGCAATAAGACAAAGAGATAGATTTGATGTGAATGGGAGTGGAGAATATCTCCTCAACAGGGGGCTACAAGGACTATAGAAGGTTATGCAGTATGGGGGTTGCAACTCAGAACCTAGGACATACCAGGCCTGCATTCCAGCTCTTTGAACCTTTTTCCCACATCACTGCACTGAATTTTAGAAGCAAAGTAAGTCTTTGTACCAGGATAGTTTCTTCCTGGAAAATTATCTAGAAATATCAATAGAAAATTTTTAACTGTATCATGTACATATTTTAACTACGAAAATAAAAGATAAATAAATAAATAAAATTAATTTGTCTTTTAAAAAATTATTGTATAGTAAAGAGCATAGATATTCCCTATGCTTATGCATCCTCAGCTAAGACCAATGGGAAATTACTAAACTTTTATTTTTCATTTTAATAATCATTAGGAAAATGCCTCTTTAGTTATTTGGAAAATGGAAAGTGGATATGGATAACAAAAGTATATTACCAGGGTGAATCTGTGATACCTCAGTGCAATAATGGCTTTGGTCTTCCAAATGGGGAGAAAGTAATGAAATGTACAGAAGATGGCTGGTCCCCTCCTCCCAGATGCGTGCGTATCAGTAAGTAAAGGGGTCTGAGCTCCCAGTTTATGCTTGTTTTTGTTTTTAAATTCATTTGTATCAATTGCAAATAGTTCATATGTGCAATCGATTCTTTCTTATTTTTCTGCTTATATAACTTTCATTAATTTAAAGTTATGTTTTATTTTTAAACTTATGTTTTATTTTCTGCTTACATAACTTTCTTAATTTTAAACTTATGTTTTCTGTGTATGAATGGATACCATACAGATTTCTTGATAACCATGTGTCACAAATGTAGTAAAATAGAAAAAAAATGTTGAAATCTGTAGGAAAGACTCAGGTAAGCAAGATGGCAGAATAGGAATGACTTGTCCAAATGACCTGCATGCTGACAAGCACCCCTATGACTATCACTGTGGGATTCAGAGACTGTTGCATAAATATTTTCACATAGTTGGTAAAAATTGATTCTGACATTAATGAGGCTCAAAAATTATTAATAGATCCTACTAGTCAGTTTTCTGACCTTCTAGAAACCCCACTTCCAAGACCCAAGGAAACCCTTGCTTGCTGACTCTTTTCGCTCATGGACCCAATTAATTCCCTGTACATTTAACTCACACCCAATCCTCATGCCATGACCTGTCCCATTTTTCACTGTAAAAGCCAAGCATTTGTAGATGTTGAATAATTGCACACAAATAGCCAACTCTAAGTCTTCTGAAAAGGAAAATACAGCATTCAGCTTTGATCTTAAGAAAGCAAAGAGGATGCTATCTATAGCTGGATTAATTCTGCAAGTGTGAGACAAAACGTACTACCATGCAATGTCTCCAAACAGGAAAAAACCATGTAGGATTCATAAACAGAGGCTCATAGGAAGTCTTAGAAACCCTAGCATTGCTTATAGAATGTATTTCTCTCTCAAAGACAGTAAGTAAATTCTGTGTAAGAAAACACAAAATCGATTCCAAGGTACTTGATTTTCTTAGACACTAGTATGAACATGATTTTTTAAAATATATTTCTTCTCTTTAATAATTTGTATATAGGAAAGTCATTGACTTTTGAGTGTTGATTTTGTAGCCTACCACTTTACTATACAAACCTATGGTTTCCAGAAGCTTTTTGGTAATGTCTTTAGGATCATATTGTCCACAAATAGTGATAGGCTTCCTATCTGTATACCCTTGATATCTTTTTCTTGCCTAACTGCTATGGCCAAAACTTCCAGTACTATATTGAATAGGAGTGGGGAGAGTGGGCAACCTTGTCTTGTTCCAGATCTTAGAGGGAAGGTTTTTAGTTTCTCTCCTTTTAGAATAATGCTTTCCATGGCTTGTGGTAGATTGCTTTGACTATATCGACGAAAGTTCCTTTAGTGCCCATTTTGCTGAGAGTTTTCATCATAAACAGGTGCTTGATCTTGTCAAATGCTTTCTCTGCGTCTATTGATCTGATCATATGGTTTTCATGTTTTTTATTGATATGATGAATTATGCTGATTGACTTGCAAATGTTAAACCATCCTTGCATCCCTGGGATGAATCCTACTTGGTCATGGTGTATGATCTTTTTGATGGGTCGTTGGTTTCTTTTTGCTATGATTTTGTTGAGTATCTTTTGCATCCGTGTTCATGAGGGATATTAGCCTGTAGTTGCACCTGTATACTCATTGCAGCACTGTTCACAATAGCCTGAATCTGGAAACAACCTCAGTGCCTGAGAACAGACGACTGATGAAAGAAACTTTGGTACATCTGCCTAGTGAAATGCTATGTAGCTGTTAGGAAAGATAAAGTCATGAAATTTGCTTATAAGTGGATGGTCATGAAGAGTATTATGCTAAGTAAAATGAATCATAGAGAGAAGGACAGACATAGAATTATTGCACACATTTGTGGAATATAAAATAACATAACATGAGACTGACATCCAACTTCAGAAGACACAAGGACCAGGAAGATTGCTCCATAGTTGGAAGCCTGACTCATGAGCTTGGGGAGAAGGCAGCTGGAATACAGAAGGGAGCACTAAGTCAGTGATGGTTGGAGGGATCATTCGGGATGGGAGATGTGTGCTGAAAGTAGATAAAGGACAAAATATGATAGCCTCTCCATATCTACATTGCAAACCATAAAGCCCCAATGTAGACAGAGTATGGGGGAAATTTTCTTTTTTTTTTTAAATTTATTTATTGAATCACTGTGGGAAAGGTTACAAAGCTTTCAGGTTTAGGTCTCAGTCATGCAAATATCAAACACATTTCCCTTTACCAATACTTATTTTTTTACCATGAAGAACCCCAATAAAACCCCATCCCCCACCCCTCCCAGTCCCTGTGAGGCAGATGAATTCTAGTTAACACTCTATCTGCTTTGATTAGATTCATTGTTTTAATAGAAGATTCACCACTATTATTTAGAGTTTACCCCCCCCCCCCCCAAATCAGACATGCTGAAAAAGCATTGTGAAGTGATTTGCTTTCTACAGCTGGGTTCAAGAATTAAATGTTGGTTTTGGATTTCTGCTATTTTACCTATTGACCCTGGAAGTATTTCTACTGAAAGTCAGATAGTTAAGAAATTGGTTTCTGTGTTCTGGAGTCGTGGCTGTGCTGGAGAGCTGCTCGTGGGGGGCAACTGGTGGCCTCGGTAGGGCGTGAAGGGCGGACCGAAACGTCCCCCTTCCCATGAGGTTTTAGTCGCCCCCACACCCCCGGCTCATACCTGCTGTCCACAAGGCTCCCATGCAGCCGCCATCTTTCTTTCCAGAGAGGAGAGGGCGAATGGGGCAACACTCTTTCCCCTCTGGCAGACTTGATGGCCTGGATTAACGCATAGTCCATTCACTTTTCTGCTCCAAGCTGCCAGGTTCTGCATTAAGTCCTTGTGCTTCTGGGGCCGTGGCTGTGCTGGAGAGCTGCTTGCGGGGGGCAAATGGTGACCTCGGTAGGGCGTGAAGGATGGACTGGAACGCCCCCCTTCCCATGAAGTTTTAGTCGGCCCCACACCCCCGGCTCATACCTGCTGTCCACAAGGCTCCCATGTGGCTGCCATCTTTCTTTCCAGAGGGAGGAGGGCGGAAGGGAGCAACACCCTTTCCCCTCCGGGCAGACATGATGGCCTGGATTAACGCATAGTCCTTTCACTTTTCTGCTCCAAGCTGCTGGGTTCTGCATTAAGTCCTTGTGCTTCTGGGGCTGTGTCCGTGATGGAGAGCCGCTCGTGGGGGGCAATATGGGGGAAATTTTCTGCCACCAAGGCAGGGAGAGTTTGGAAAAGGGAGGAGGATATAATGGGGACATTGGTGGTGGAGAATGTGCACTGGTGGAAGAATGTGTGTTTGATCATTGTATGACTAAAACTCAAACATGAAAGCTTTGTAATTGTATCTCACAGTAATTCAATTAAAAAAATGTAAAAACTAGGAAATCATACAGTTTGTTTTTATGTGTATAAATCTCGAGTATTGTGCTATTTGAACTTACTAAGGGGGAAAGGGAAGAAAGAATGATCTCTCTCATCTGCAGGACATAAACAAATAGTGCAGGGAAGCAACACATGCATTCTCTAAGCTTTTAAAAAAATATTCCACATGTGAAAGAATTTATTCATGAATACTATATACCTGAAATTCAGCTATACATTAGTTTTTAACTCATGCCTTAATTCTTCTTTTAAAATAAAAGAATTCTCACTGTGTACATCCTCCTGCTGACTCATTTCAATCAACACAGTCTCATCTCAGAATGCTCTGTCTCATATGTGGGATATAAAGAAAACTTGAGGAGGAATACCAAATGACCAAAGTCAAGAGAGATGAGGAGCAGGAGAGGTGGTCTTCAGTAGGAAGATTGGCACTGGGATAGGGATGAGTGGGATAAAGTAGGAGTAGGAAGGGAATACTAGGACAATAGATAGGGGGAAAGTGCCAGCCACAGAGGCAGGCTTGGGTTGGATGAAAAACTGGGGACACTCCTGGAGGATAGTGCACTGAAAAAAGGATAAAACAGTATATGTCTGAAACAAAAAAGGAATACAAAATGTTTTAATTTAATATTATCAATAGGACTTAGCAATCGAAAATCAAAATAAAATGTTTTATTATTAGACTTAGACCATAGTATCATCTACTTCCATCTACATTGCAGAAAATGTCAGGATTTCACCAGTTCATATAGCTGAGTAGTCTTCTGTTGTGCATAGGGACTTTCATTTCTTTATCCACTCCTCTGTTCTTAAGCATTTGGGTTATTCCTGGAACTTGATCATTCTGGATCACCCTATAATAAATGCCAAAGTGCAAATGTCTTTTCTCTCAATAGTGTTTTTGGTAGCTTGGGATATATGCAAGAAGTGGAATTGCCACTTCTGATTATTTTCCAAAGAGGCTGAACCAAGGATCATTCTCACAAATAGCGGAGGAAGGTTCCTTTTCTATACATTCTTGTTAGCTCTGATTTATTCCCATCTTTTTGACATGTCGTAGTCTCACTGGTGGGAAGTCATAACTTGACTTGCTTTTCCCTGATAAAGAGAACTTTGGGTAAAGAAAGCTTTCTCATCTTCCTTTTCTTGAGACTGCATTGACTATTATGCGAAATTTATTACTACATCTAACCTATTCTATATAATTAAAAATGCCCTACAATGGGCCAGAGAGATACTGCAGTGGATAAGATGTTTATCTTACTTGTAGTTGCCATGGGTTCAATCACTGACTTCCCATATGGTCCTCTGAACACTGCCAGCAGTTTATACCTGAGTGCAGAGCTGGGGAATGTCCTCTGAGCATTTCTGGGTGTGACAATCAGTCAATTGATATCACTATATCACTCTATCATTATCACCTCTTTGTTCATCGATTTGCTCAAGCAGGTGAGTAATGTCTCCATTCGTCCCTGTCACATGCTAGTGTAGCCCGATGGCATATTGGGGGCTCTTTCAGGTTTAGGGGAATGAGAACCATAACTGTTACTGTTTTTGTCATATCGAGTATGCCACGGGTAGCTTGCCAGGCTCTGCAGTGTGGGC